TAAACCCTTTTGCTCTCATGTTAATAAAGTTACTCATAAAGATTACTGTCATTTCATTGTCAAACTCTGTGAATGGGAATTATTAGTTCTTGTGGCATCAGACTGAACAAGCTCTCATATATTTGGATACATACAGGAACTACAGTTTTAACTGCTGTGAGAAACACAGTCCATCCATCCACACAAGTGGTTTACAGGGACAATCCAGATATAAACTTTCTAAAGTCCAACCACTTCTCCTATACCATTGTTGTCGTAGGTGAAACACCCTACGCAGAGACATTTGGCGATGGTGCAAATCTTACAATACCTGAACCTGGTCCCAGTACTATAACTAATGTCTGTGGAGTTGTGAAATGTGTAGTGGTTGTCATCTCTGGGCGTCCAGTCGTGACTGGGCCTTATCTTGCAAATATAGACGCCCTCGTGGCTGCATGGCTTCCGGGAAGTGAAGGCCAAGGTGTTGCTGATGTTCTGTTTGGTGACTATGGATTCACAGGCAAACTTGCGCGCACTTGGTTCAAGTCAGTTGACCAGCTTCCCATGAATGTTGGCGATCCACATTATGATCCTTTGTTTCCTTTTGGATTTGGTCTCACAACTGAGCCTGTCAAGAGCTAAATCTCCTCCGCTGGTCTTTCACTTTGCTGTTCAATCGTAATTTAGAGCTTTATTTATGCCTTGTATCGAACAATTTTAGTTTTCCCTTAAAGAATAGAAGAAGGGAAACAGAGAAAAACAAAGACTACTTGTATAATAATAAAAAGGTGACAAAATATTATGGATAAGAGAAGACTATATTACACTGTTAGAGTCAGGGGTGTAAATGGATATTTAAAAGGATTAGTTACCTCCTATAGCAAAGGTTGATACCTTATTTATTTTAATAAATACCCTTTCAAAAAATTATATTACGTAGCTACCTTTTGATTTTTTATAGCCAAATATATATTTATGGTTATCTCCTACCCTTGAGCCATAAAATAAGCTTTGTATTATTTTTCTCTCTCCACTCAAATTTCAACTATCCCTAACCAAAAGCTTCAGTCAAGGAACCCCTAAAAAAGCTGCCCACCCCCAATCTCTCGCCCACCAGCAGCCCCATCTCGTTCTCATTCTCTTCAATGGAGGATAGATCTCCTCCTTCTTGAGAGAGCAGCAACCGTCCTTTCCATTCCCCTTCTCCAAGAACGCCCAGCACTCCACCCCTCACAAACCTGATCATCCGCCCACCTTCCTAAGAGAGGATCATCATCCTTGAATTCCAAAAAGAAAGCTGATAGCAGCCCACTCCATTAACAACCTGCAATCGCCACCCCAAGGGAACGAGCAGCTGTAAAAAAAAAAAAAAAAAAAAAAAAGAGGAACGGAAGAAAACAGAGCATCGACACAAGTGAAAATACAAAGATGGAGAAACAGAGTCGAAGTCGCCGTTGATACTGATGCTGCTTCAACCTCACCGCCGCCATCGAGACTGTGGACTGATGACGGTGGCTCCGGCGGCTTCAATTGTAACGAATAGGTTTCTTGAAGCGCACGTGAGGGTATTATGGTAACAGGAACAGTGGCGTTTCGAGTTAAAATCGCTGCCCTCTCGACGAGACGACATTAGGGTTGTTCTTGAATGAAGACGACGGAGTTTGGGGTTGAGCAACTTGAATTTTCGGTTAATATATTTCAATGTATCTCATTGTATTTCCATCTATTCCATTGTATTCATTGTCTTTTTTTTCATTGTATTTCAATGTATCTCGTTGTATTCCATGTATTTCATTGTATTCACTGTCTCGTTGTATTCCATGAATGTATTCATATATTTTTTAATTAATATACTTTATGTATTCAAATGTATATATGTATTTAAATTGCTCTGTTTTTATTGTATTTATCTGCTGGGAAAAATATTCAGCATATTTTCTCTGAAGATTACTATATTTTTGGGGTATTTTTCGGTTGAGAATTTTTTTTATAACTGGAAATACCAATTTTGTGTGTTATAATTAAGTTTGTTGAGTTATATTAGGAGTCTATTATGTTAATTGATTCACTTTCCGTTTAAAAACAGCTGAATAGACCATGAATTGCGCTATTTACGTTATTGTATTCACAAATACATATCGTGAATACAGTCGAATACAATAATATGTCTAGCCGTAATCCCTTGTTTCACACCGTGAATACAATCGAATACAAAAATTTGTCTAGCTGTAATCCCTTGTTTCACGCCTAGAAATGCTATTGTATTCATGAATACAGTAGCTTAAATACATCGAATACACTCTAAAAAAACTGAAAACATAGCTATAGGAAGTAATATAGTAAATGGTAACTACAACTAGCTAATAACCACTAAAACATAGTGGTTTCTGAAAGTTTCTCTATTTAAAAACCGACTAAACCGACCGAACCGTACCATACCAAACCAATTTTAGGTTTCTTTTAATAAAACCGTAGGTTCTTACATAAATCTATAACTGTACCGATAATTAGGGTAGGTTTTTTATTTTACGAAAATAAACCGAAAAAATACTTTTATTTTACGAAAATAAACCGAAAAAATACCAAACCGTACCGAATAAATTTACATGTGAAAAAAGATTGTATATTAAGTTTAAAAATAATAAAGCATTAAAATTTTCCTTGGTCCTTAGAATTACGAAAACAGTTACAAGCCACAAGTAAATAAACTCAAAATCCTAATTCCCAAACCTATTGTGCTACTCCTATTGAAATTAAATTATTTTCAGCATATTCACTAGCAAGACACAAGGTACTGTAGGAATTATGAGTAGCAAACTACAATGTATTGAATATATTTTCTTTCGTATGTTTTAGATTTATCTTTTTGAATATTTAATCTTTTCTATAGAATTTGTTCTTGAGTCCCAACTTGGAGAATATCTTTCCACTCGTGTGATTTATATTGTTTTTGTATTTGCTTAGTTTCTTTTACGCTGCTGTAGAATAATTGATGGATCTAGACTCTGATCAACTTTCATATTTTCTTAATTCACCACCCTTTAAACTGTAAAATGTCTTGAGAGTTTTGCTAAATCCTATAAAAGTATGTTATTGTATTCTACTTCTACTTGTGATTTTTACGTGACATTTAAAAAAAATACCGACTTTTAGTCGAACCATACCGGTACCGAAGAGAAATCAACATGATTGGGACGGTATCGAAAAGTCTAATTTTGATTATAAATAATAGAATAATCAAAAAATTAGTATGATATAAATTTTATAAATTAACCGGCCGAACCGAACAGCTGACACTCCTAGTTAGAGTAACACTAATGTTTAGGAGGAAAAGGAAGTAAAAGTCAAGGAAAAGCACCATTGTATTCATTGTGGTGAAATGGAGGAAAGACTCCCGCCAGTTCATATTATGTGTTTGTGAAGATTTTTGTACATCCTTTAGGAAAGACATCTAATAACTTTAATCGTAAAAATATGTCTAAATTGCCATTTATCTCTCCTTAAACATCTTATTTAATTAATACTACATAATTGAAACAGTAAGGGTCGATTTAGAAGAAAAAAGTAATAAATGACTTGTATATTTAAAATGATAAATATTTTAAAGTAAATTTGATTTATTAAAATGGCAAATATTTGGAATGGGGAGTAGCATAAAATAGGTTCAACTCTCTTCTAATTTGGTGTTGGTGCAATCTCAGAATCCACTCTAACTAGTTTTCATTGTATTATTTTTTTTAAGCATAATGTGTATTTAAATTTCAATTTAGATACCAATACCATAGATTTTTAGTTTCATTTGCAAATAAGTGAAGTGTAGTGTTCAATATTTTGACAGCTCTATGAAATACCATTTACCATTAATCACTTGGTCTTATTGGCTTTTCAAGTCCCAAACTGTATAATCTAACACTTCCACTAATGAATCTTCTCTGATTTGGCAATTCTTATCTGTTCTAGTTATGACAAAAATGAGGAATCAAATTAGATAATTTACCAAAATTCATTTCAAATTCTAAAAAAAAGTAAGATGGCAATTACTATGTTTCCATTAAAAAATTAATCAGTATACCTTAGTAACCCAAGTGAAATCACTGAAATCCATATGCTTGATACCACGTCTTTATCTCAAGTCCTCCACGTCCTTTTTAGTTATTTTGCTTATTAAATCCTCGTAGCAACGGTAAAATTGTCTCTGTGTGACCTATAGCAATGGTAAAATTGTCTCCAAACCTATAGGTCCCAAATTTTGTCTACGTCACACCCCGACCCTTCCCTGAAGTCCGCGTCAATGCAGGATGCGTTGTTGTCCTTTTTTTATTTATTAAATCTATTTTGTTAATAAATTTCTGCAATAGTGTATTTGTGAAATGATAATTGTGCATACTCATTAGTTTGTATCTAATTTTAAGATCCTAATTTGAAAAATATACATGGTTCCTTCAAGCCTTATTCCAAATCTGGATCAATTTTTAAGAGGTTAATTTTATTTAGTTTTTGACTATTTTAGTTTAGATTACTATGATTCAACTGCTGTTTTGTGAAGAATATCAAAGTACAAGATATGTATTGAATTATTAAATGAGGTGTCTTAGTTAAGAAACTATTTGATTTGAATAATTTTTTAAATAAAGATAATTGTAACTTATCCTTTTAATCCATGGTTACCACAATTTCAATAATTCACATTCCCAATTAGACTACTGAAATATGACACTTTTGCTTCAATTATAGCTTAACTTGATTGTCATTTTTCAACTCATTAGGACCTCTGTTTCTCTTTTTCCAAACTACCAAGCCCTTATTTGCAATTTCTCAATCATATGATTGCTTTTCTAAATGGGCCCCACCGAAATCTCAACAGAACTCCGTATCAGAACATGTTACCTCGGAAAACGTTAACCGAAATGTCCACTTTAGTACAAACAAATTTCTATTCAAAGTCCTCCTTTTATTAAAAAATTAATTCAAAGTCCTTTTCTGGAGAAAAAATAAGTAAGTAGAGTCCTTCTTAATCACCCCACCCCAACCCCCCACTACCCCTCCCACTCAATGTGCATGTGTATGTATACTTGCACTCCCATTGGTCTAATTCATCTCTGTTACAAAGTAGAAGCTCAACAAGTAAGTTATCCATTTCTTGTTCATAGCATTTTTCTTTTCCTACTCTTTTAACAAACTTGTTTTTTTGTTTGTTCACATCTTATATACTTATCATTAAAATGGTTGTGCTATTTTTAGCAGAAGGCCAACAAAGAAAAACAATGGGGAGATATGCAATTCCAGTGAAGGGATTATTTGTGTTATTCTGCCTCTGGGCAGTGGCTGTAGAGGCTGAGTACTTAAAATATAAGGACCCAAAACAGCCATTGGGTGCAAGAATCAGGGACTTAATGAAAAGAATGAGTCTTGAGGAAAAGATTGGACAGATGACTCAGATTGAGAGGAAAGTTGCCACAGCTGATGTTATGAAGCAATATTTCATTGGTATGTTTGAATAACTATTACTCTTTAGATTGAGATGGCCTTTTTTTAAATGCTTGATTGTTTATTATTCATCAGTGATACTAGAATCTTGCACATTTGATGTTTGGAAAATCCATTCTTTATGTGTATATTAACTACTTATGGTATATGCATACAGATTACAGAAAAGTGATTTAGATCAGATTGACTATCTAAAATTGATACTATCAAGTATCAATTTATATAACACTCTTTCCTTTTTAGTCTGTTCCGAAAAGATTAACATCTTTTTTATTTTTTGAAACTATTTAATTTTAAGATATCCCTTTTACCCTTAATGAGTAGATATGACATGTCATGTTTATGACTACACATTCTTAGGGCTCTTTTTGTATGTTATACATGTTTAGCTTATGTGTCAAGTCTTTTTTTCTCAAAACTCATGCCCAATCAAACATCGTCATATACTGTCATATAAAATGAAACGGAGGTTCAGAATTTTTTGTACTATACATAGGCATTTAAAGGGAACATGGAAAAGGGGCAGGGGGGGNACCTAAGGCCTCTGCTGAGGATTGGATCAACATGGTGAATGAGCTTCAAAAGGGTGCTCTTTCGACCCGCCTTGGTATTCCCATGATCTATGGGATTGATGCAGTTCACGGCCACAATAATGTCTACAATGCTACTATCTTCCCTCACAACATTGGGCTTGGTGTCACTAGGCAAGTATCTATGAATTACAGTAAGAAATATGTATGCTTATCTTTCACCTACTATTTGAGTTAAAATTTTGTCTTCTCGATGCAGGGATCCTAATCTTCTAAAGCGGATTGGGGCTGCAACTGCACTTGAAGTTAGAGCCACGGGAATCCAATATGCTTTTTCTCCCTGCATTGCAGTAAGTTGATATGATATGATTGTACTTTTAGTAAAGTTGCATTTCTATTTCTTTGATGTCTGAGTAACTGTGTTATGGTAGGTATGTAGAGATCCTAGGTGGGGTCGTTGTTATGAAAGCTATAGCGAAGATCATAAGATTGTGCGAGCTATGACAGATATAATTCCTGGTTTACAAGGAGATCTGCCAGCTAATTCTCGCAAGGGTGTTCCCTTTGTTGCTGGAAAGTACGTATGTCTATCAGTTCGCATCTTCATCCTTTACCATTTCCATTAAATGATATATGCTAATCCCATTCTTATGAAGAAAAAACAAAGTGAAGATTACTTCAACAAGAAAAAGATGAAAAAACAGAATGACGATTATCTGACAAACTACTTGATAAGCATAAAACTTTATTGAGAAGGCCACATGATAGGGGGGACCTGGTGATCTTAGAATTGATGTCATTGAATTCCTTCACATAGAAGTTCTCTGTCAAACTGAGAAAGTTTGGATTTGATGATCTTAGAATGAATATTATTGACCCATATTTGTTGGTTACAACATATAACTGGTCCTATCAATATCATGGTCCAGCACAGTATTTATCATGACTATGACCTTTGGCAAGTTTGGATATTGTTCATCTTTGGATCAAGTATAAATGAACCATTCAAGTTGGTTTAATCACATTATTTTCGTTATCATGATCTTGGAATAGTTTGAATCTCATAATCGTCTTCAGGATTGTGAGTTATTACACTTAATCAGCCAATGGTCGTTGCATATCGCAGGCTTTATGTATCGCCATCTTTTAACCTAAAATTCGTTAAATTAAATAATCACTGACAGAATTGCATTCTCATGGCACATTACAGCCATGTTTTTTGGCATATTTTTGTTAGTCAATCAATTAACTTAGATTATCTTGGTGTTTTTTTCCAACTTTTAATTATAAAACATAGCCTTTTCCGGTTTTCAGCTTTCGGAATATTTCTTCACACTATAAACTGCTACCTCTCTCGTGAATTCACATCTTTTCCTCCAGTGCACTCAGTTGTCCATTTCATTAAAAATGTAGAGTCTATTATCCGATAGTATTTTTAAAATTCTTTGGAGTACTAAAGTCTTCTCTCATTTACAAAATTGAACATCATAGTGAATTTTAATCTTGCTTAAGATAATGTGTGTGGTACTAGAATAATTCTAGACATCTTGATTATTCACGTGACTATTCTGAATTGCTTCTAAACACCAACCCTGATGTTTCTATTGTTTTCTTCCTTTGTTGTGGAACATTCCTTTAATTGAACTTTCAACTGGTTAAGGTCAAAAGTAGCAGCCTGTTCCAAGCACTTTGTAGGAGATGGTGGCACGGTGAATGGGATCGATGAAAATAACACTGTAATTAACTCAAATGGTTTATTTGGCATCCACATGCCTGCATATTATGATTCAATCATAAAGGGTGTTTCAACGGTAATGGTGTCTTACTCGAGCTGGAACGGGAAAAAGATGCACGCTAACCGAGATCTTGTCACTGGCTTCCTAAAGGACAAGCTCAAGTTCAGGGTAAGAATGATTAACTCAGCTCATTCAGAATCATTAAGTTAAGGTCAAGTAGGGATATATCCGTGTATAACCGCCTATTTTGGCCTGTGTCTTTTCAGGGTTTTGTCATTTCGGATTGGCAAGGCATTGATCGGATTACTAGCCCACCTCATGCTAACTACACTTATTCAGTTCAAGCTGGAGTTTCGGCAGGAATTGACATGGTTGGTTTGCTAGTTTGATCTAGGTTCTTTCTTTTCTTAAAATCAAAATGACAGTTTTAGTTACTCTATATGATTGTCTCGTCTACGCTGCAGATTATGGTTCCAGAGAACTACACAGAGTTTATTGATACTCTAACTCAGCTAGTGAAAGATAATATCATTCCCATGAGCAGAATTGATGATGCCGTGAAGCGGACATTGAGAGTTAAGTTTATCATGGGTCTCTTTGAGAATCCATTAGCTGACCTTAGCTATGTAAACCAACTAGGTTGCCAGGTACCTTTGCTATCCAGTAACTGTTTTCAACTCTTTGGATCTAATTCTTTTATGTGTCTAATATAACGTGCTTCACTGCTTCTCTATAGGAACATAGAGAATTGGCAAGGGAAGCAGTAAGGAAATCACTCGTACTTTTGAAGAACGGAAAGAGCACTAGTCAGCCGTTACTTCCCCTTCCAAAGAAAGCGCCAAAGATACTTGTAGCTGGAACTCATGCGGACAATTTGGGTTACCAATGTGGAGGCTGGACAATAGAATGGCAAGGAGTTGCAGGCAATGATTTAACAGTTGGTATGTCGTCTCATAAGGAATCTGCTTTTACGTATTAGAAGTACCAACACGCATAGATAACTAATGAATATATATCCTTCTTTAATCAAACAGAGGTTAGCGACTTTTTTTTGTAGCACGGATTTAACTTACATGCACAAACAACGTAAAAAGTTTTACTCTAATTTTAGCCTATTGTAGCAGCAACATGACTTTTTTCTAGGTTACTAATTCCACTTTTTGAGGACGATTACCTGTAGTTTTCTTCTTGTGACCTGATAGTATAAAAGTTCTTTTACATGTCAAGGTAGTAGAAGTTAAACTCGTGTAGCATAATCGCGAGAAATTGATCTATTTCTAAACTTGGCAGGAACCACCATTTTAAGTGCTATCAAGAATACCGTGGATCCTGCTACGCAAGTAGTGTACGAGCAGAATCCAGATTCAAACTTTGTGAAGTCCAACGAATTCTCCTACGCGATTGTTATAGTAGGTGAAGTCCCCTATGCAGAGATGTTTGGTGATAGCACAAATCTTACAATAACAGAACCTGGTCCTAGCACTATCAACAATGTGTGTGGGGCTGTGAAATGTGTTGTAGTTGTCGTCTCTGGTCGTCCAGTCGTGCTAGAACCTTATGTCGAAAAGATAGATGCACTCATGGCTGCATGGTTTCCGGGAACTGAAGGCCAAGGTGTTGCAGATGCTTTATTTGGTGACTATGGTTTCAGTGGTAAACTTGCTCGCACTTGGTTCAAGTCAGTTGACCAGCTTCCTATGAACGTTGGCGATCGACATTATGATCCCCTCTTTCCCTTTGGATTTGGTCTCACTACTCAGCCAGTGAAAAGGAATTAAAAGACATGATTGATTTTGTCATTCATTCAGCTTTCAGATAGAGTTTAAGAGCTGTCCCAGAATACTAGTCGACAAAAGAGAGAAGGTACAGAAAGAAATATTAAAATCTTTATTAAGTTATTGCGAAATCGTTGCTTTATTTTTTTTTTGGTTTAAAAGATAAACATATATTAATATTAAATATTGCGTACAGAGGGCGGATGCTTATATTGTATCCTATCACATGCTGATGCACCAGTAGCGGGTGCCAAAGTATTATACAAAATGATATTACTACTACTACTAAATTTACCACTATTACAATATGTATTTACAATATTATAGTTATCAGAGTGAGGCCTGAATTGATCCAGAACATGTCTTTGCACTGCACTCCTTTCTTGCGCAAAAACTGACCATGCAAAGTCTGGGTTGTCTTCAAAAATACACACCACTGATTGAATGTCAAAATTGCAACCTGCCTTTGCTAGTTTATCTGCAACCCTATTCTGCTCTCTGTATGCATGCAATACTACAGGCTTACCCAACCTGTCCAGGAAGTACCTGGAGTCAGTAGTTAAATTATCAAATGAGACATTGTTCGAATGGAGAAGCATTATAATGTCTTGTGAGTCCACTTCCACCTCCAGTGGAACAAGATTATGTGAGTAAGCTAACTGGAGTCCCTGCAACAAAGCACGTAATTCAGCTGAAGATGATGAGTCTGTTAGAACTGTTGGTGCAAATCCCAATATTCATTCAGCTTTTGAATTTCGTATTAGTCCACTAATACCAGCCTTGCTTGTTGTATGTGTTCCATCAGTGTTTAGTTTATAGAAATGATCTTTAGGAGGTTTCTATTTGAGATTTTGCTATCTCTTTTTAACAATTGTATGCTTCTTAGCTACAAGGTATGTAAATTTTGCTGCTTGTTGAGTTGTTAATTTAGTAGAAGCCGTAGACATAGTATGTTTGTAACAGTTATTATTACGTGCTAACCAAATATTCCATAAACTTAGAGGCAAGTATGCCGCTGGATTTATTTGGTAAGGAAAATGAAATTCCTTACAAGTTATGAGTTCGGTGTATCTAATTAGAAGAGAGTGTTCCTTGCAAATGTTGATTGATGAATTCAAGGATGCCCAAATCCAGCCAAAATGTTTTAGCATTTGAGCAATCTAGGAATAAGTGTCTAATAGTTTCATCCTCCTGATGGCAAAATTGACAAGTAGCATCTTGAATTAAGTTAATATGTCTAAGGTAGTCCTTAGTAGGTAGCCTCTTTTTGTGAAGAAGCCAAAGGAACCCTTTAATTTTGGGTTGTACAGGTAGTTTCCATATCCAGTCAGAATTTGTAGAACTATTAGTGGGTACATCATGTTGTGCATCTAAGATACCATATATAGACTTAGTGTTGAAATGACTTGTAGGAGTTAAACCTCAGAAAATGTTATCAACCTTATTATTGTACTTAGATATATAAGTAGCTTGAATTAGTTGAGTAATGTTACTGGGCATCTCAAAAGGTAATTTATTTCAATCTCATCCCTTGTTATCAATAAAGATAAGATAGTCATATTCTGGTGCTCTAAGAGTAAAGGGCCATAAATTTTTGATCTGATTGTTGTACCAGACCCAATCCAAGGGTCATCCCATAACTTAATATTAGTGTCTTTTCCTATATTCCGTTTTATACCTAGTTGGCATAGATGCCAGCCATTAGTAATATTAGACCATATATGAGAGTGATTATTATTTTGAGAAGTATTAAGATATTTGGTCAGCAAGATGTTAGCCCACATAGCATTTGGTGTCTTAAATAACCTCCAAGCTAAACTTGCTAGTAAAGCATTGTTCTTTTGACGTAGTTTTTGAATTCCTAAACCTCCATCCTTTTTTGGCCTAGTAATTTCATTCCATCTAACGAGGTACAATTTCTTTTTTTACTATAGTAGTACCCCATAAAAAATTTCGTTGATACTAATCCATTTTATTAAGAATATGGGATGGAATGTGTATGTACTGCATTATATGATTTGGTAATTGGTTTAGAGTAGATTTTATTAAGGTGGCTCTTCCTGCTAATGTCAGGAATCTAGATTTCTATCGTGCTAGTTTATTTTTAAAATTATCAAGGAGGAACTGGAAATCAACATTTTTGGGTCTTGCTTGGAACATGAGAAATCCCAAGTATTTGCCAAAAGAGGTGCCTTCTTTCATGCTAAAGGAATTAATAACAAAATCCTTATCACACAAACTACAATTTTTAGAGAAGAAAAGTTTTGATTTTTCAAAATTAATTTTTTGCCCAGAATATTTTGAAAAATTATTTAAAACATCAATGATCGCATGACAGCTTTTAGTAGTTATTTTAGAAAACAGTATAATATCGTCTGCGAAGAAGAGGTGAGATAGGAGTGGACCTTTGTTAGACAGTCGAATTGGTTGCCATTTTAAATAATCCACTGATTGAGAAATGCTTCTAGAGAATAATTCCATGCACATGATAAACAAGTATGGTGACAGTGGATCGCCTTGACGAATACCTCTTGAAGGTGTAAAGTATTGGGTGTTTGAGCCGTTAATTAATATGGAAATTGAAGTAGTTGTAACACAAGACATGATTAAAGAAATCATAGAGGGAGGTATATTAAAATAAAATAAAGCACGTCTTATAAAAGACCATTCTAATCTATCAAACGCTTTTTCTAAATCAAGTTTTAATAACATTGAAGGATATTTACCTTTCATTCTAGCAAGGTAATTTAAAGATTCATGTACTATTATAGCATTATCACAAGCTCTTTTACCTTGTTGGAAACTAGTTTGTGTAGGTCCTATAATTTTACTAATGATTGGCTTAAGTCTATTAACTATTATCTTAGTGATGAGCTTATAGACAGTATTGCAAAGGCTAATAGGCCTAAATTGTTGGATTTTTGTAGGATGTTTTACCTTAGGGACCAGGCAAATAAGTGTTTTATTAAGCTCATAAGGTATAATATTTGAACAGAAAACATCATGACAAAATGAGCTAACTTTATTACCTACATCTTTCCAGTATTTTTGGTAGAAAAATGGATGTAACCCATCTGGTCATGGGGCTTTGTAAAACTTTGTAAAGTCGTTAAAATCTCATCTTGATGAAGAGGTGATTCAAGCTTAAGAATATCATCAAAATAGATCTCACAGTTATAAGTATTCACTCTCATTTTTTCCGAGATTAAGTGACCAGTTTAAAAGAGGTCAGTGAAATAATTAATAATTAAGCCATGGATTTCAGTAGAGGTAGATACCCAATTCCCTACATTATCTTGTAAAGCATTAATTCTATTTCTACTACGTCTGCGGAGTGTGGAGAGATGATAGAACCTAGTATTCGTATCCCCTTCATTTAGCCAATTTATTTAAGATTTTAACTGCCAAAATTCCTCTTCTATACGAAGAATGTGACTGTATTCCAATGTCAATTGTGTTTCCAAGTTTTATAAGAAAATACTAGTAGGATAATGGGAGGAGGATTGTAACCCTGCTAATCTAGCAAGCAGTTTTCTTTTTTCTTGGAAAATATTACCAAAAATATTTTGATTCCAACATGTGACCACTCTCTTGAAATTATCAGTAGTAGTTAACAAGGGCATATCATTCGACCAAGTTGTATGAACAAACTGTTGAAATTGTGGGTGAGATGCCCACATTGTCTCAAATCTAAATATATGTTTTTGTATAGGTTGAGGAGGTTCTAAGTTAATTAATAGAGGACAATGATCAGAGTGAGTACGAGGAAGGTGCGTCACAGTTGTATTTGGAAATAAGTTTAACCAATCATAATTAACCAAAAAAATGATCTAGCCTTTCTAATATGGTACGCCCACTTCTTTGTTTATTAGTCCAAGTAAAATGACTACCCTGAAATCCTAAATTAATAAGGCGACAGTTATGCATGAAGTTAGCAAATTTTTCAGCCCTATTATTATTTATAAAGAAACCCCCAAACTTATCCCTAGATTCCAGAATTTCATTAAAGTCCCTCCTATTAGCCAAGGAAAAGCAGTATTATCATGCAATTAATTAGGCTATTCCAAAGAACATCACGTAACTGATAATGTCGACTAGCATATATAGCAGATAATATCCAAGGAGGTTTTGTGGGACTAACCTGGACCATGCAATGTATTTCCTGATCAGAGATCCTCATTTTTGTGACATTAATAAGATCAGCATTCCACAGCACCACCAAACCCCCTATGAGTCCATTTGCAGAAGTTTGTACCATATTTGTAAAATTAAAGTCCTTACGCAAGCTTGTATGATCTTGCATGTGGGTTTCAAGTAGGATAGCAAGAGTGGGCCTATGATTATTTAGTAGAGACCTAAAGTGCCTCCTAAATTCTGGATTATGAGAGCCCCTATAGTTCCAAACTAAGAAATTCATGTATGAATTAGAGTTTTTAGGCTGGGTCGTAGGAGCCTGAGTCATTGGATGGACAACTGAGGGTGTCATCGAATCCATACTCAGTGGAAGTTGAAGAAGCGTCGGAATGATCACCATGGCATATTTCCCAACCTCTGGGTTGGTGGTTTGACGGAAATTGAGACTGCGTGTTATCATTTCCGGTGGACACTTTAGAATGAATTTTTTTTCAAATTGTTCTTTGAGGTTGTAAAATTGGATCCCTTTTAACCACCAAAATTCCGTTCGTGTCTCCCTCATCTCCGCAAGAATTGTTATCAGTTCCTCTCTTGTATCTCTCTCTAGTTCTTGTGGAGATGGAGGATGTGATTGCACTGGACTATTTGGTGGGGTGAGACTCTTTAGTGGACTCAATGGGCTTGAATAAGGGCAGAGTGGATTGAAAGAGTCCAGAGGCTGAAACCAAGGAGCATATACCTGACCCATATGACGAGGTGGGTAAAAGGGTAGTAAACTGACAATTTGATCCTAAGTTGGACTCATCTGGGCTATCTGATATGGCCCTGGTTGATGGGTGGAGCTGGAAGCTTAGTGATCCATTGGAAAAGGAGTTTGGGTCGTGTACCATTAATTTTGATTGTAAGCTTCCATTCTCAACCTCATTCTTTCTGTCACAATTTTTGCTAAATGAGTCGGATTCTGTATGAGCAACACCACCTCTTGGTTGTTGAGTTACAGAGTAAATATTAGAGCATATCCCTGCAGTCCTATTTCCAACCAAGATTGGAGAGGAAGGTCTACGGTCATGACCTGAGATGTGTATATCAGAGGTGATGCACTCTGAGGCAGATGAGGACCTACCATTGTGAAGCGAGGGAGATGAAAAAACTGATTGTTGGTTTGGATATTTGCTGTCAGAAACTGACTCTGGCTCATGCCTATGAACGTTGGTCTCTGCATTGAGAATAGAGTGCGGCAATTGCTGTGGTTCAAATGTTGGAGTCGTATTAGGTTTGGGTGTTTGAACTAAGGGAGGGTAAATATTAGTAAGTGAAGGAGATAAGATAGTGGGTTCTTCATGATGATGTTCACATGGGAAGTCATCATGTTGTTTGCATAGGTTTTGAGGAAGCCTAAAATCAAAAGGGAGATTACTGTAGCATGCATGTTTTTTACTCCTTTGGTCTGAGTTGGATCAAACGTGTCTTTAATATGCAAGGGTCCTTCTGAGTTGTTTGAGGATAAGTGGGTTATGGATGTAGCTGGATGGTTACATGGCAAAGGTGAAATAGGTGTCATGCAGACCTGAGGAAACGTGTTGTAATCAAGTAGAGATGGAGATTGTGTTTCAGGTATAATGTAGGCTTAGGGTTAATAGGAAGAGGATTGGGCAATAAGGTCGGCAGCTTATCAGGAGTAAAGAAGTGGCTGTTAGCACGTTGTTGGATTAGTAATGGATCATTACTTACATTATTTGTTATTGGGCTTTTGAAGAAGTGGTCAAATTGAAAATCTGATGGCCCAGCAGTAGAAAGCATTTGAAATTTGTTTTTAGATTCTATAGTGGGCTCTTGCAGCTTAACTGGCCTGAAATCATCAGGTTTTGTGGGGTAGTCTTGAAACTTCAGATTAACTTTTTAAAAGTTTTGCACATCTCAGTGTTCTTATCTAGAAGGATAGATAAGTCTAGAAAATTAAGCACTCTTTTGATATCTTAATAAGATAAATTTAAAATGTTACTTAAGGTTTAAATTTTTGTACTACATGGTTTAGGATAAATTCATTTTTTTAGCATAATAAGTGAGCTTCAGGTAATTTGAATTTAATACATATTTGAAGTATTACTTACTGCATGCATTATAAATTAATCCTAACGTCAATTCTTTTGTGTTATTATAATGATTTCTTGTAAGTTAAATAATACAGAAATTTTTCAATCCGATAATTTCAATAATTTAACAAAATATTCTAATGATCTTTCAATTTTTTTTAAAATATTATTTTCTATAGCTATCTTTTAGGTTTTATAGCAAAATATGTATTTATGATTTTATGGTCACTTCCTACGTTTAGCCATTAAATACGCTGGTAATATTTTTCTCTCTCCTACTTTCTGTTCTTTCTCTCACAAGACCACCGTATAGTATACAACTTCAGAAACCACGATCTCTCTCCACCATATCTCTCTCTCAATGTCAGTCTCTTCTCCATGAATATAAACACGATTCTCCACTGATTCATCTACAATGTCTCGCGAAATTTTCAAATTTTTTTGCTCCAAAAAGTTGTGGTAAGTGTTAAAGTTGTTAGATTTTGGCTGGTACATTGCTTCTTTTGTTTCTCTTTACTAATTTCTTAGAAATAATCACCATTGTTATACTTTCACCAGAAAACTCGAAATTTCATCTCCAATGGCTGATTCAACAACTCACAAAAGGGTTACCCGACATCGAAACAAGCCCAATTTTTGAGAAATCTTCGAAAGAATCAACACTTCCTGATGCGGAAAAGAGAAGAAAACTTATGGATGATGATTCAGGGGTTAAGGGAAAAGATACTTTATTTTCATTATATTCAATGTATCTCGTTGTATTCCATGTATTTCATTATATTCACTGTCTTTAGTTTTTTCTACTTTTTCAATATATTCACTGTATTTAAGTGTATTCAATGTAATTATATAATTTCAAAGCTTCACTTTGTTTCATTGTTTTGTTCAGCAGTATGTATTCAATGTATTGTAGAATATATTCATAATTTTTTTAATTAATATAATTTATTTATTCAGATGTATATATGTATTCAAATATATCTGCAGTATGTATTCATATGTTTAGCACTATAGATGACCTGTTATTCTTCATGTATTCAACGTATTGTATGTATTTAACTGTATTCAATATAATTATATAATTTCAATATATAAATATATTTGTAAAGATACTACTAAAAATATTTTAGTAAAGATACCACTAAAAAAAGAAAGGACGAATTGAATCTCTGAAGATTGCTCTGTTTTTGGGGTGTTTTTTGGCTGAGAATTTTTTCTATAACTGAAAATATAAAATTTGCGTGTTATAATTGAATTTGTTAAGTTATATTAGAAGTTTATCGTGTTAATTGATTCACTTACCGTTTTTAAACAACTGAAGACCTTTTTTCGTAGATTTCCGTTAATATATTCCAAATACAGCTCACGAATACATACGAATACAGTCTATGTTTAGCTGGACTTCCTTGTTTTCCGCCGAGTTTTGCTACTGTATTCATGAATACAGTAGCTTGAATATATCGAATACACTATATAACAAGCAAAAACATAGCTATAGAAAATAATTAAGTAAATGATAGCTATAGCAAGTTAATAGACACTAAACAATATTCTCTCTATTCCAGTTTATGTGAACCTATTTCCTTTTTGGTTCGTTCCAAAAAAGAATGACTCCTTTCTAAATTTGGAAACAATTTAGTTTAAACTGCCAATTCTACCCTTAATGAAAAGCTTTTATAATCACACAAATACTCTAGGCCCCTTTTTGATTTGTTTAGGACCACAAATTCAAAAAGTCTTCATTTTTTCTTAAACTCCGTGTCTAGTCAAACAGGTTCACATAAATTAGAATGGAGGGAGAAGTCATTTCTGAAAATTTCTCAAAAAACATAACTACTGTAATGCATTGGTAAAAGGCTGCAAATGTTGTTAAAGAGCTGTGTGTGAAAATTTCAGATTGAGCTACGGTACTTTTGAGAGAAAGGAAAATTTGAGTGGCCCCATGTTTCATGAGAATTGCTGCTAAAATGAGAAGCTCGATCTTTACAAGAAGTAACTTAGAATGCCAGACATGCATGACCATAAGACAGACACCTCACCCACTCAAATTTTCCTTTCTCTCAAAAGTACCGTAGCTCAATCCGAAATTTTCACAAACAGCTCTTTAACAGCATTTGTAGTCTTTTACCAATGCATTATTGTAGTTATGTTTTTTGAGGAATTTTCAGAAATGACTGCTCCCTCCGTTCCAATTTATGTGAACATGTTTGACTAGACACGAAGTTTAAGAAAAATGAAAACTTTTTGCATTTGTGGTCCTAAACAAATCAAAAAGAGGTCTAGAGTATTTGTGTAGTTATAAAAACTTCTCATTAAGAGTAGAATTGGAAGTTTAAACTAAATTGTTTTCAAATTTAGAAAGGAGTCATTCCTTTTGGAACGAACCAAAAAGGAAATAGGTTCACGTAAACTGGAATAGAGAGAATATTGTTTAGTGGCTATTAACTTGCTATAGCTATCATTTACTTAATTATTTCCTATAGCTATCCATTTAATTATCTGAATAATCATGTTTAAACTGAATGGAAATTTTGTACAATAAGGCGTGGTTTGGTTAGAGAAAATAGGAAAAATAATCCTAGCAGAAAATTCAGAAAATTGTACAGTGCTAATTGGTTGGAGGAATTAGGAAAGCATGTAATTGCTACATAATATTTTAATGTATCATTAGTCACTGCATACCAATCCATGCACAGTTATCCGGAGAAAATGACAAAATAGTCGGGGGTTGCTATAAAATGGTCATTTAATTTTAATATATATCTAAGTAGTTGTCCTTTATATTTATCAAAATTGAGCACTTTTGATCTTTGTTACTAATAAACACACGACGACATTATCTTTGACAGAATTTAGACATAAAGTTTAACTTTTTTAAAATAAAACTTATTAGTAATAAAATTTCAGATTAATAATTTCTGATAAAAATTTATTACTCGGGTTAGGTCCGAATTCCGGACATACGCCCAGGTCCCATATTTTTCTACGGACCCTCCGGGACCGTCAAATCACAAATCCGGGTCTGTTTGCTCAAAATGTTGACCAAAGTCAAACTTAGCCTTTTAAGAAAATCCTAAGGAATCAAATGGGCATATTTCACTCCAAACTCTTCCAAATCCCGAACCAACCGTCCCCGCAAGTCGTAGATTAGTTAAAGCAAGTGCGGGAAGTTTTATTTAAGGGAACGGGGTTCTAAAAGGCAAAACGACCAGTCGGGTCGTTACAATGTGTCTAGCGGTTCTAACTTTGAAAGAGAACGCCCTTTTAACAACTTCAGCGGGCTTTAGTGTCACAGCTAGCTAGACGGAGTCACTAAGGCAAAGCGAATAAGAGTAGTACTAGAGTCGACTGTACCACCATCTTGGAACCAAGCCAATAAACTATATTAAAAATTAATTTCTCAACTACTTAGACTTTAAATTCGATTATATCCCCAAGTCAGATCACTAATGACTTATCAAACAGTAAATTTTCGCATGTTACTCAAAATTATATATAGAAGTGGCCTAAAGCAAGCAGGAGACCGTCGACATCCCTGCTTGCCATAGAGGACAGCTTGGTCTTTTTATAATTCTATGCTAGGTAGAAGTTCTGTTGTGCCCCTATGTCTACTCTTTTGTGCTGTTGGGTGAAGTTCTAAATACGTAATTTCCGCTCCATCTCTTACGGCCACCGCTTAATAATTTGCTTTTCGCGTTCTTCCCTTGTCTAGAATTACCTTGGCTTCTCCTTCTTCATCGTTTAAACTCTGTGTCTAAAACTGAACATCAATTTCTGAAATATAAAGTGATACTTAAATTGGGGTTTCTACTGCGTCTTTTCACAGTTTCATAGTTGCTCCATTAAGATCGTGTAGTCGAACGGTTAGTTTTTACTGTTCTATTTTATTTTCTTTTATTAGTACTGTGATTGTTTTATTTTCTTTTGTGTTCGAAATGTCTTTCTAATTTTATCCTGAAACTTTGAAACTCAAGAAATTCCTTGAAAAGAAATTCGGGTTTCCGCTGAGACCATGTTTCATCAACTGTCTCGCAACAACATGGGCCCACCCAAACTTTTTGTAAAGCCGCATTCTCTCATATTAGAAGCGACACTTGACCAGGTTGACCAGCCTGTTTCATCAACACGCGTGAGACTTTCCGATATCCATGTGTTCCGTTCTTGCTCCCTCCTATTAAAACAATAGGAGCCTCTAAAAAAAACCATCGTTTGTGGACTCCTCTATTCTCTGCTCACTCTCTTTCTTGCTAAAATCAGGAAATTGACAGATTAACAAATTGTGTGGTTGACTTCGTTCTTCTCCACATCTGAATGGTTAGTTTCCACTTCATTCTTTACGAGCTTCTAAGGTTCGTCAATCAATTTACTTTGATTGACTTTTTAGGTTTTCTTGTACTTTTCCAGACCTCACTAGTGGAATTTTTTTGAGCTTGTATTTGAATTTTATCTCCATTCTTTTTTAAAGTTTTGCACATCTCAGTATTCTTATCTAGAAGGATAGATAAGTCTAAAAAATTAAGCACTCCTTTGATATCTCAATAAGACAAATTTAAAATATTGATTAAGGTTTAAATTTTTGTATTACGTGGTTTAGGATAAATTCATTTTTTTAGCATAATAAGTGAGCTTAAGGTAATTTGAATTTAATATAATTTTTAGAAGGCACAGTGGACACCACATGCTTTAGGCAAAAGTTGCATGACTTCTTCCACGTAGTACCATGAATCATCAAATTTTGTGGGGTAGTCTTGAAACTTGATCAACAAAGAGGGGCTATTATGGGCTAGACAAGCGAGCATGTTGATGACACAGATAGCTCAAGTAGCTCAACTGTTCAGTGTTCTTATCTAGAAGGATAGATAAGTCTAGAAAATTAAGCACTCCTTTGATATCTTAATAAGACAAATTTAAAATGTTACTTAAGGTTTAAATTTTTGTACTACGTGGTTAAGGATAAGTTTATTTTTTTAGCATAATAAGTGAGCTTCAGGTAATTTGAATTTAATATAATTTTTAGAAGGCACAGTGGATACCACATGCTTTAGACAAAAAGTTGCATCACTTCTTCCACGTAGTACCATGAATCATCAGGTTTTGTGGGGTAGTCTTGAAACTTGATCAACAAAGAGGGGCTACTATGGGCCAGGCAAGCGAGTATGTTGATGACATAGATAGCTCAAGTAGCTCAACTGTGCCTTCTAATATAAGAGAAAGGTAAAAAATAGATTTTGTCTTATATATACGGCGTAATTTTTCGGCGAAAGGGGTTCGGGTAAACCCGCTTCTGCCACCCTAAATACACCCGTGTGGACACCACATACTTTACAAAAGTTGCATGACTTCTTCCACGTAGTACCATGAATCATCAGGTTTTGTGGGGTATTACACGTCCACACACGTCGTTGGTACTACGTGGAAGAAGAAAAGTGTTGATAAGCGTAGAGAAAAAGCTTTCTCTTTAAAGAAACAATAGCTTTGAAACAATATAAAATATAAGATAATTAATTTATGCAAAAGGAGTTACGTTTAATTTTTCCCTGTTATTATATAGGAGCACTAATGTTTTACTATTAATCGTAACGTCAATTCTTTTGTGTTAGCTATAATGATTTCTTGTAAGTTGAATAACACAGAATTTTTTTAATTATTGTGATATATAGTAATTTTTATATAATTTTTAAATATATAAATTTTAAAATTGGTTTTGAAAAAGTTTGGCTTTTATAGTGGTTCTAAATAAATCTGGGTTTAGCTGTAATTTTGTATATATTTAAAGTAAGCAACAATCATGTTGGTAATATATCTAGTAGAAATGCATGCCTGCAACAACATGGGCCCACCCAAACTTTTTGTAAAGCCGCATTTCTACTAGATATAGTACCTATGGGCCACTCAAATTTTCCATTCCACAACTTATATGTACGTACTCCTTAAGACTGCCATAGGAGGTGGACCCCATGCAAATTCAGAGATAATTGGTCTTAAAGTTTAGCTGTAGTTGCAAAAAGATCCTTAAAAATATAAATAAAAAAAATTGAAAGATCATTAGAATATTTTGTTAAATTATTGAAATTATCAGATTGAAAATTTTTTGTGTTATTCAACTTACAAGAAATCATTATAATAACACAAAAGAATTGACATTAGAATTAATTTATAATGCATGCAATAAGTAATACTTTAAAGATGTATACAAAATTGTTTCAATTTTAAATCGCTTTTTAACACGATACAAGTCCGTTCCTTATTTCCTTGAAGACATAGAAATCGTTGCTTTAGAAAACATTAAAAGGGTATAAGCTTACATCAAAAGCTAGTGATCTTCTTGTTTTATTATTTATTATTGGAAATTGGAGAAAGAGCAGAAGGTAGAAAGTTGAGGGATTTCCTTAAGATTATATATGTGATGATGGTTTCTTACTGTTATAATATTGCTTTCAAGTTGGAAGTATTGGTGGCGTGGTCGTGTCTGTTTAAATTGAGAGTACTTAGGACCAAAAGATACGTGAAAGGATGAAAACACAAATTCCGAAAGAAAAAAATGGAAAAAAGAAAAGGTGTTACATATCAGATGTTTAAGGCCATAAATGGGAAGAAGCCTGCTTATATCATTTTGGAAAAAGAAAACCAGTCTTAGATTAGGGGATGAAAAGAAATATAATGACACCGTTAGATTTCCATATGGACACGTGCCATCAATCAAGCTGGAGTATTAAGTAATGGAGCTAATCCCAACCCCAAATATGTATCTTGATTCTTGAAGCCAGAATATTGGTCGCCGCAGTTTTCAAGTGCTTTTCATGTTTGAATTTTGATGCTGCCGTGATAACAGATCTTTACTTAAATCATATTTATGTTACCAATTTAAAAGGCATTAAATTTTAGAATCAACTAGTTCAGTAACCCTTTGCAAATTTACTTTTAGTTTTATGTCTCTTTTCAAAAGAAATCATTATTCTCACATACAACATTTGAAAATAACACACAAGAAATCTTTGCAAGATCATAGGGTTACATTCAACCATTTCCTCTAAATATTGTTTCTTGTTCATGCACAGAAATTTAAGCTCACTAATGAAATCAACATTGCAGTCCCACCAAAGGAACTTCTAGGTAGAGATAGTGCCCATTGGCACTTTTGGGCCCCGTCTTTAGAAAATAGCCATCACAAGTAAAAGGCTTCAGGATATGTTGGCTGTACATAATCGTGAGTACTGACTACTGAGTACAGGCTCCACTAAAGTATTACTTTCCATGGCTACTATGACGGTCACTGCAAAAACACACATTTTGTACCAAAACCCTTATAATCGCGATTAATAAAGTTACCACGTAAAATTGGCACGGAAAACCTCATTTACTGTCTTTCGTGCATGATTCACTCTTATTGCTGGTAAATAGATGGTTCTGAGACCAAGACAATGATCATTTAGTCCCTAGTTTCTATTTCAATTCTATCCGTTGACGTTTTACAAGGTTATCTCATTTCTGTATCACCCTAAAAAGGAAGAAGTGCATCATCGGTTGCACCCAACAATTTCGAATAATCTTAGATGTAGCACTGCACTGTTAGTTGTGAACATACAGAACCCATCCTACATCTGCTTCCATCACCAAACTTTCCCCCGAAATCAAAGAGCCCAAAATATTGAACATAATGGAGTAGATGATAAACAAAGCGTCTCTGTTCATACATTACATACATAACTGCGTTTTTATAAGAGAACACTACATCAACAAAGTGTAACATTTACAGAAATAGGAGATCAATACCCATTAGCACTATGCTCTCTTTAAGTTAGCATCAGTATTCCACAAAACTAACAATATTCAGCATATCCTACAATGAAGCATCAGCTAGACAAGTAGAGGAATGGCAGAATATCTGTCCAAGTTATGAAGAAGCTTCACCTGCCATCCATTCCTCCTGTACCACCTTACCAGAAAATAAATTAACACCAATTAGACAACTTCAATAGATTAACTGAACACAAATAAAAAATCTATCCATCCTAAATTTTACTTTTCAAATTCCCTAATACTATTTTCTTACTGAAAGATAGGAGGCTGGAATTGTGACGATTATGGTGGCTCCTATTGACTATATCCCCAAGAATTTTTCTGGGGATACATCAACAATTTTATCATATATAATGCTCACCTCAATCAGTTATGAGATTGATCATGCTCAATAAAATCTAAGGCATCGTCCCTGGAGATAACGTTGACACGGCTAACTCTATTTTTGTGTATCACACCATATATCTTATCAGCCACTTTCACAAGCTCCGGCCGGAATGTCGTCGTAATAAATTGTGTGCTGCCCCTGTCTGCCAAATCACGAACCATATCTAGAAAATTATAGTCAAAGGATAAAAGGAAGTATACGTGGAGACTGTAGAGAGAGAAGGAGGAATGCAGGAAATAATTTTAACTCTAGGATACTCCCCACGGCTGTTCTGTATTGAGGATCTAGTGCTGCATCTATCTCATCAAAAAGATAAAATGGGGCAGGATCACATCTTTGTATGGCAAATATAAGTGCCAGCGCTACCACAGTTTTCTGACCACCTGATAACTGTTTCATTGACTGTGTTTCTCCTTGTCCAGTGAAGGACACCTACAGCAAGAACATTGAGTTAGAGGAAAATTCAACTGAAGTGCCAATTGAAAATTGCAGAGTCTGTAACTTTTTGACACACTATCTTTGTGCTGTTCATATTTTATAAAAATTTGACCCTTATCCCCAAAAAGAAAGTACCAATTGAAAATGAGCTAACAAGATGCATATTTCAAAGTAATTTTTGGAACAGCACAACATTTCCATGACCATAATTTTTTTGAGTGATTTTTTTTTTGATTAGGTAAATAATTTTATTAACAATTGGGGACTAACCCCGTATACAAGCCGTACACCTGAAAATGAACGTATTTTAATTTTTTTGCGTGATTGTCAGAAGTATTACTCCAATATAGAATTCAAAAACGAAGAGATGGTCTCGTCGACAATACTGCATCAACAAACAGCAGATGATATAAGAAGGTACGAAATTACATGCCTTCACTTTCACACCAATATATTTCTCAACCCTTCCCTCCATATCAGCACGAGGCTCATCATCATCAGGATCATTGTCATCGTCCTCGCCATCCTAGAAACAACACAAAAGACACCAATGATCCTCATCATTCAAGAAATTCAACTTGCAAGATTCATGTAGTTCCAGAAACTCATCTTTACAAAAATGTGTAAATTGCCATTTTATATATGCATCTGATAATGATAAATAGCCGAGTTAACATATTTACTCATTTATAAATTATGGAAGAGTATTGTATCAGCTTAGTATTGCTTAGTGACAATTTTATATGCAATACTTAAAGGACACCTACAGGATCATATCACACATGTTTCCGGGACCATCAATTGTGTTTTCTTATCTTTATCCTGTCATATTCTCAAAAGTCTCAAAGACGCATTAAGTTTTTGAATACAAGTTCAAGAGATTTTGTGTAAAATCGTTCTAAAGCCTCTATTATTGAGATAAAGATTAAAAATGATCCAAGAACTGTTTCCTTGTTGATCAGAGGTCTATGCAACTTTATTAATTGTCATTAGAGAGAGGTACCAAGACACCATAGAAGATTGCTGTTGAATGTGGTTAGTTTTTGAGTTTTTCATGTTTTTAGCTTTCAGACTAAACATGAAACGCAGAGGCGGCAAAGAAATATTCCCATTTTAATGGTGGAACTCAATGGTTTTATGAAATGAGAACATGTGCACCAAAAAATGCCATTAGTCCTAGGAAGTCAAATTGAAAATGTGGAATAAAAGTAGGGAAATGCAATCCAAAAGTGCATATTATTGGACATAAATACTTGGAAATTACAATCACAAAAATTAAGAATCAGGAAAGCCACTCATGTAAACTTTTGTGTTTTTTTTTTTTTGGAGAGGAACACTTGTAAAGTATTATATACTATAGTTATGTCAAACACTGTCTTTAACGTACTATTCCATTTATTATGGCCTCTGTATCTCTTCATTTTCAATGGACAATTTATTGGAATCGTCCTTCGAAGTTTGAGTTCTAGCTATATGTAATCTACTGAATACTCCATATGAATGAGAGATACTTCGATTTCTTAAGCCAGCTAAGCATTCAAGAAGTTCACCAACCAATATACTTTTCCTCTTTCTTATATTGCCAATCCTATTAGTCTGTTGTTTTTCAAAAAAATTCCTCTCAAATAATTTGTTGAGCACCGTCTATTGAGTTTCTGTTTGTTTAGCTCATTTACATCAGTTGTGATAAGTTTCAATGACAAAGTAGAGGAAAGGAATGGTTGTCATTCTACGCAATATAATTCATCTTCCACTGTCGAGGGGTACATGGCCATATGTAACCATATTGATCACTCTCACTAAGACATTTTCATAATTTCTTATAAGTCTATGTTTGCACTTCGTTTTTACATCTCTACATGCGATGTTGATCTAAATGACTTTTAGAAACACTTATTTGCGTAAATATGGTTTAATTTCCATGAGACTTGTCATACAAACAAAAAGGGGATCTGTTTATTGCTAGTTTACTATAATAAGCGCTTGGAACAGAACAAGAGAAACTAGAAAAATGAGCAAGAGATAGCCCAATGGAATACACACATACTATTTTATGCAACAAACAAAACAAACCTTTTTCTTCATCATAACTAAGAACCCATGACCTCCTTGCACGAGTTGAGAGAATACTTCACGGAAATGTTTAGCCACACCCTTGAACGTGCGCTCAATTGATTCATCCTTCCTCATATCCAAAACTGATATAAGTTCCTTGATTTTCTGCCAATATTGATGCAAGGCAAATGAAGGAAGTCAAACTAAGAACTGCTATCAATACATAAACATACAAGTCCAAATCCACAAAATACACGACTTATATACCTCATCACCAGCATCTAATTCAGCTTGCCTTCTTTGGAGTTCTTCTCTTTGCTCGGTGAAATTTACATATTGATCAAGTGCTTTTTTGTTTACATGGCTGAATTGTTTCAGCTGCTCGTTACACTTGTGCAGTATCTTGTATAATTCTTTTACATTCCTTCTTTTGTACCTAGAATTTACACCCTCATTATATTTATAGCCAACTGACAATTAAACAGTTCCCACTATTATGTCAGAAGAATAAAAGCCAATGCACCTATCTAAGGTAATATACATATGTAACTTCCTTTTTTTGGGCCTAGTGCGAAATAAGATTTGAGAGGTCAAAAACGTGTAAAATGCGCACGGATTATACAACTGAACACTTTGAACATCACAAGAACACAGGTTTACACTAGAAGGCATGCTTTAGAGGATCTCCGCCTTTTCTTTTATAAACTTTTAANACAGGTTTAAAATTATTCCTTTCATGAAGCATAGACATTAAAAAGGAACTAAAAAGAGAAGCAATTTTAACCAGCAGATAAAGGATAATAGCTTACTGCCTTACTCTTAAATACAAAATGCAGAAACACACAAGTACGAACAGGATCAAACACATATGAAAAGAGATGGAGACACAGCTGTCCTCAAGAGCTTTAAGATAAGACAGCAATCTAGACCTCAGTCTTACAAAGGTCAAATTCTTGCTTCTCACTTTCGACAACCATCAATTTTACACGATTTCTTAACTTCGTTTTGTCTAGCTGACAATGGCACCCAAATGTATCAGAAATATGTCCATACTTGAATTTCAACGTTCTGGTGCAAAAATAGAAGAGAGTTCACAGTTGACGCGATTTGTGGCATTTCAACTAGATAAAAACACTTGAAAAAATTCAAACTGGACTCATAAGACAGTTTACAATGTTTTGATGAACGATGATTTGAAAGGCACACGTTAGGCAAGATAAGGCCAAATAGCCTCAACACAGTCATACTTTGTGAGACTATATCTTCTAATAATTTATATGCCTTAAAGGTTCTTCTACATGCAAAAAGAAGATTTTTTTGTGAGACTGAACATGCAGAAAGAAGATATTTAAAAACGCAATTTAGTCATTAGGTCTTACTCTAATACCCCATGGAGGTTTACCAAACAAACGCAATTTAGTCATTAGGTATGGAACAGCTTAGACTTCACCCTTTATGTAACTTTTTTCAATATGCCCCATATGTATCACTTTTCCTTCATTAACTAGATTTTGTAAAATAGATACGTAAAGGGCATCCTTTCAGGGAATTCACCTCTTCACCCTATAATAATAACAGTTTATGATTATTATAGTCACTAACAGTTGTACGTACATCTGCGTGTTTTTGAAAAGATCTGTCAAAATAAACAATAAAAGAAAATAAAAGCGAAATAGAGTTCTCCATATTCAAATGCCGAAAAGTATATATGCAAATTTAGAGAAGAGGCAATACGTCTCAAAGGCATCAGAAGATAAAGGACCCAGTTCCCGGATTTTCTTCGAGTACTCTTCTTGCTTGGCGAGACAAGTGTTCCGTTTACTTAGTAGCTGCTCCAATTCTCTTGCTTCATCCTGAAGTGTATTCTGATACTCATCTTCAAGAGTCTATAACAAAATCATGTATTAGTGCAAATCTAAACAGGCCATATGAAGCTGCAATATAGAATATTTACCTTCAGCTTATCCTTGTCCTGTTTAATCTTCTTGAGCCTCTTGTTTCGTTCATCTATACTTCCAGAAACCCCTGTGCAGGCCATTTTTGTATTAAGAATTTTGAATATATACAATACCAGAAGCTTCAAAATCAAATAAAGGACTCACTTGTAAGCTCTTCAGTCACATGGTCAACTAGTGACTCTGCATCCTTAAGTTCCTGATTCTTGCTCTCAACTTCACCCTGTAACATATCAACGTCGACAGAAGAATTCATCGCCACTAACTCTTGTTTTCGTATTTCAAGATTTGTTGACAGATTCATCTCAAGCTCCTCTTTTCTGGTTTCAGTCTACAAAAGACGAGCGAAAATCAGCTACTGATTTGTATCGATATGTCATATTGATTTCAGTAATCCTGATGTCAACAAACCTCTATCCGATTTGCCCTGCACGCAATCAGCTTCTCCTTCAGAGTCGTAATTTCAGGGTTCAAGCGTGACAAAGAATCTCGCTCTTCCGGTGTTAAATGATCAACAAGTTCTGTTCCCATTTCATCTTGTTTCACAGCTATACTAGCTCTTAGCTGATCTATTTGACTCAAAATATTATCAAGCAGTTTCTCCTGCAAACATGGACAGTCTCTAATTAAAGAAGAAATGCAGTAGCGGCAAGAGCTCCAAAAGTTTTTCAAGAGGAGGCACCTTCTTTTGAAGAGCTTTTAAGATGGATTGTCTCTGTCTTTCAGCATTACCAATATCTTGTTTAAGTTGTTCTAACTCAGACTTGTCATGAGCCAGGGCAGCATCATTTTTCTGCTGCTCAGCCACAAGTTCATTAATTTTCTGGTCTATCTGTGGGAAAGGCTAAGTGAAAGCATAAAAGGTGAAGGGTATATAATGAACGTCCTTAGAACACTGGATAAATAATGCCGGTGACACCAAGAAAGGAGAACTATAAGACCTTGTTGTCGCCAGTAACATTCTAAGCCACACAAAAGAAGTGTTTGCAAAACTTTCTAAGTGAAAAGAAGTAACCGGTGCATGTCAGTACAACAAAAAAGGATATCATTATTCCAATTAATTTTGTAAAAGAAACTTGAATGGCATATACATTACTTATGCACATATTGAAGTCTCAATAAGTCTCAAGGCCCATTAACTGCTTCAATGCATTCCAAGCTCAAGTGAGGAGACTTATGTTCTAATAGTATTAGTCAATCGAGAGCATACAACGCATAGGCTACCTTTGACAAGTTTTTTCCTTTCACATTTTCCACCCTACCTTAAACTTTCTTTGGTACCTTAAGCCAGAAGAATGACTTGATTAACACGGCAGAGCTGATGCCAACCTGAAAAAATCTCCACTTTAATCCAACTTACATTAAATTAATTAACGGATTTTTCGTACGTCAAGGTCTTTAATATAAATAGCAGCTACAATGAATTTAATTCATGAGTTATGTCCACCTAGACCCCCGCAAGGAGGATATTTTAAGATTCTTCAAACGATTAAATTAAATGCAAATGATATCCACTGGATCTAATTCGCATGACATTGAACAGATCCTAGAGCAACAGCAGAATTGCTCCTTCGATGACCTTACAAGTTGGTCCTTACATGTTCGGGGCGTGGAAACAACATCTTCGCACAAAAGGAAGGGGAAGGAAATGTATGGTATACTCCCATTCTCCCCCTACCTCGCACTATCCAAGGAACACTTCATGCACGGTAAGCCCTTTAGCAAATCAAAATGATGAGAAAGAATGAACGTTTTTTTTTTAATGATGGTGGTGTCTGACCCAACTTGTATGCACCTCGACTATTCCAGTGAGTACCTGCTACCTCTCACCAGCACAGATATCGTGTTAACTCTATCCACCAAGGCTTAGGCAGATGGGAAGAAACCACCTAGTGTTTTTTTGCCTCCGCTAGAATTTGAAACTGAGACCTTCTGGTTCTACTACCACTTCATTGACCACTAAGCCACACCCTTGGGTGCAAAGAACACACATGTTATTATACCATTACTGAGTGTTTCATAAAAAAAAAAGTTTCTAGTTTGAATAAAAACCATATCATCTGAGTAAACCACTGGTCTTGTAACGTAGTCAAAGACTCAAAGATTTGTGATATCCCACACAAATGAGTGAAGTGTGTGAAGAAGCCAAGGGAGTTACCTTGAGCAATAGTAGAAGCAAGGATCGAAAAGAATAACACGCTAAAATAAAAAGGGTACTGAACAATTTTAAATTGTAAATTTTAGTAGAGGTTGCAACCCAGTAAGGATATCTTGAAGTTTATATCTAACTTCCTCAAGTTCACGCTCCTTCAGGTTGATGGACACTATATTCTGTTTGATGGTGCTCATAAACCTCAATTTTGAGCGTCTATAGTCATAAAATCCACCGGTCATGCCCCCCTTTTTACTAACTTGGTCACCTACATAAAGAAGTCAGGTCAGATCAGGCTAATGCAACCAAACACCAGTCAAAGTAATCACAACAAGGTGTCTCAAATTCTAACCTTCAAGAGTAATGCAGTCAAGCCCATCAGTACGAGCAACCCTGGTAGCAACATCCAGATCTTTACAAATTACGGTTCTTGCAAACACCTGGCAGAGATAAATATAGAAACTCTTAACTGGAACTAGAGACATGAGAAGTAGCAACAGCTTTACTAAATATACTAAAAGTTAAAAAGAATATAAATACAAAACGAATCAAGATGTTTATTTACAGTCCAGTCAAACTTCCAGATAACAGAGTAGAGAAGAAAAAACACAGCCACAAAAAGAAAATCCTCTTGTCTTAATCATAGAAAAAGTATATAAAGATCCAGTAGAGAACTAAATATCTGTATTATGAACAAATATTAAATTGTTCTGATTCTAAACAGATTAGGCAAGTGAAAATCTACCATGAAAGCCCACAGGACCAGCCACAAAAGACTGGTTAATTCATGACTGAAGTGATGAAACTAAAAACTTTGTAACTGACCTGCTTAAATGCTTTTTCATATACATCAGAAAACGTCAATTTCTTCACAAGCGGAATCACATCAGAGCTATTTGGATAATTAACATGTGGAGCCTTAACCCTGTTCAATGGAATAAATGTAACTCGTCCACCTTTTTGTGCATTGAGGTGTCTAATAATTTTAGTTGATGTTTCATCATTATCAACCACCACATGGAATAAGCTGCAAAGACAGAAAGAAGATGTCATGTGAGTTGTTAGAGATAGCTATGTAATTGTCCCACATTGGAATAGGAGTAGTATCCCCTTTGTATAGAGTAGCTATAAATAGCACCTCTTGTATTGCATCACATACAATATCAATATATCATATTTTCTCCCGTGCCTTCTCACATGGTATCAGAGCTATCGTGAGAGATTTATCGCTGTGCATAAATTCCAACGATTCCGGGAAGTAAAATCAGTCACCGGAACCTTTTTTTTCCGGCGACTTTCAAAGTTGTTTTGCGTCTGCTTTGTCTCGGTCAGTGTTGTGCACAAAATCCAACACTACCACAAGAGTAGTCACTGTCCGGCGACCAAATCCCAGTGAAAATCTCTGGCGGTACTGTAGCTGTCCAAAGAAAATTTTCCGGCAAAGTTCCAACGTTACGTGGGCCACCTTCCGGCCATTTTTTGGCGACGACTCTTCAGGACAGATTGTTTCCCTTGCAATTCCGAGCCTACCCATCCAGGTTACACCAAATTCCGACCACTTTTTTATTTCTCCGACGTGAATAGTGATTTCAAAAAGTTGACTTCCGGCCATTTTTTTAAAAAGTTCCTTCAGAACAGTTGGGTCTTCTGGTAATTCCGATCCTACCCCTACTGTTTTTATTTCATTCCGACCACTTTGAATATTTTCCGGCTGCAACAGTAACTTTCCAACTGCTACAGTAGTTTACTATTCTGGTTCAGTGTTCCTTACTCTATTTTCAGTGGATTACAGTTGATTATTTCTCTTATTTGGTAATAATTTACAAGATGTCTTTGGGAATTGATGTTTTTGGGTCTAAAAGCATGAGTTCTGGAAACTCTAATGTTATGATTACCTCGGAACCTTTAATGGGAGGTTCAAACTACTTAGCTNTTCTCATGGAATTATTCATCAGACATCTTGTCCTTATACCCCTCAGCAAAATGGGGTTGCAGAAAGAAAGAATAGGCACCTTATTGAGACTGCTCGCACACTTCTAATTGAGTCTCGTGTTCCGCTGCGTTTTTGGGGCGATGCAGTTCTCACAGCTTGTTATTTGATTAATAGGATGCCTTCATCTCCCATCAAGGGTCAGATTCCACATTCAATATTGTTTCCCCAGTCAGCCTTATACCCTCTTCCACCTCGGGTTTTTGGGAGCACATGTTTTGTTCATAACTTAGCCCCGGGGAAAGATAAGTTAGCTCCTCGTGCTCTCAAGTGTGTCTTCCTTGGTTATTCTCGTGTTCAGAAGGGATATCGTTGTTATTCACCTGATCTTCATAGGTACCTTATGTCAGCTGACGTCACATTTTTCGAGTCTAAACCTTTCTTCACAACTGATGTCACTTTTGTTGACCACCATGACATATCTGAGGTCTTACCTATACCGACTTTTAAGGAGTTTAGTAATCCTCTTCCACCTTCAACCACAGAGGTTTCACCCATACCAACTTTTGAGGAGTCCAGTGTTATCCCTCCTAGTTCCCCGGCCACAGGAACACCACTCGACTTATCAACGTCGTTCGCGCCCTACATCAGGCCCATCTGGTTCTCGTCCTGCACCTGACACGGCTCCTACTGCGGATCCTGCTTCTAGTACACCGATTGCACTTCGAAAAGGTATACGGGCCACACTAAACCCTAATCCTCATTATGTTGGTTTGAGTTATCATCGTCTGTCATCTCCCCATTATGCTTTTATATCTTCATTGTCCTCGGTTTCCATCCCTAAGTCTACAGGTGAAGCATTGTCTCATCCAGGATGGCGACAGGCTATGAGTGACGAGATGTCTGCTTTACGTACATGGGAGCTTGTTCCTCTTCCTTAGGTAAATCTACCGTTGGTTGTCGTTGGGTTTATGCAGTCAAAGTTGGTCCCGATGGCCAGATTGATCGACTTAAGGCACGTCTTGTTGCCAAAGGATACACTCAAATATTTGGGCTAGATTACAATGATACCTTCTCTCCAGTGGCTAAAGTGGCATCAGTTCGCCTTTTTTCTATCCATGGCTGCAGTTCGTCATTGGCCCCTCTATCAGTTGGACATTAAGAATGCCTTTCTTCATGGTGATCTTAAGGATGAGGTTTATATGGAGCAACCACCTGGTTTTATTGCTCAGGGGAGTCTCGTGGCCTTGTATGTCGCTTGCGTCGGTCACTTTATGGTCT